TTTATGATACATCCGTTAACTAATATTTAGTTTTCATTCTTGCTCTTCTATCTTTTTTTATTATATAGCCAGCGTTAGGCAAACTTTAAAAATATGTTTTCTAAAATATATTTAGAAGTCCCTCAGCAGCTGTGCGTGGCACAAAATAGAGTACGTCAGCAATCATTCTAATGAGTTTCCATAAATAGCTTAAAGTCCATTTAAATGAATATAAGGTGACCGTATTTTTAAGGGGAGTGTCAGTTTCAGATAATATAAGAGAGTTCAACATCAAAGAACGACACCCTAGAAATTTCTTAAAAGTAGGAGAAGCATTTAATATTGATTTTTAAAGTTTTAAAAAAATTAATTGTATATTATATTATATTACAGCAAAACACCCAAATTATAAATAAACTTTTTGAACGTTATAGATCTTAATACTTTAGTTTTTAAGTGATGGAAGCCCGACACACAAATATAATTGTATTCTAGTAAATAGTACTCTTCATATAGTATTATTACCATACTACTATACTACTACTCCACTATATTCTGAAGGACAGCACTGTTAACATGAGCCAATATTGGTCAACCAAAGAATAGCTGTATCCAATATACAAATACAACGATAATATAATGGCATAATAACACTGTATATCTTTTTGTATGCTAAGTGAAAAGCAGGCATCTTTCATTAACCACAACTAACTGGTAAAGCATAAAGCGAGGACTTTTACTCAGCTCCAATAGTGATAGATTAGACACAGAGTGCTGTTTACATACTACTTTTTATAGCACAGAGGGTAACCATAGCTTTCGTACGCAACTATTGCCTCTGTTAAGTTATTATATGCTATAAACTTAGCCAATGCTTCCACAAAAGCACAGGGTCTGTCGGCCTCAAGTAGAAAAGCGCAAGAAACAAAAGACAGGCAGTATAGGAGTAGATCGATAGCAGCAAGTCACTAAAACAAGGTTAATTATCCAAATTTTAGTTCAGTTGCACCATAAGATCTTTTAGCAGCGTAAGTCTCAAACAAACAACTCTACTAGAATCTTGTATGATCAAGGCAAATTAACATCAGCAGGGTAACGGAACTTTTACTGATAAAAGGGAATATAGCCTCTCCCAAAGGCCTGCCATCTGTTCGAGTTTTTACCTTTAAGAGCAGCTGTTCCAGCCGTGCGTAAAAGCCAAATTTAGAACTCTTCTAGCCAAAAGCTAAACTTTATACTACTTAGCCAAAGTACGACATGCATAATCACGATCCTTGTTTGGTAATAATTCCTTTGAATTTAAGTTAAAGTTAAAAGTTAAGGATCAATAGCCTACTACTAGTGTTTCAGCTAGAGTCAAAGATGACAAGAATAACAGAGGGTAGTTAACCAGCAACTCAGATCATAATACTAGAGTTGACCTTCAATCTAAACTAGGATGGTGACTCACCCTGAGGATCAACATCATGCCCATAACCGATTAACTAGTCAGTCAGTACATGACATCTCCTTGCAGCTCGGTGAAGAACTTGTAGCAGAAATGCAAAATTTTATATATAGGAGTTATCTTTTTAGGTAGCTTTACGATAATAGCCTGGCGGCACAAAGCAATGGTTACATTGCTAAAGAATGCACGTCAGAAATACGAAGGCTCACAAGATTTAAGCCAACAGTCTAAGGCACTCGAAGATGCCAAAGACTACCATTAATAGCCCAACCTCTCGCTGTTGACAAGTACGTTTCTTTAAAGCCTCACAAAAAATAACGCGTACCTGGCGGCTCTCAAAGTATTCATGAAGGTTGCCTAAGCATATTTCCGCAAAAAAATTTTGAATCAAAAGTGTAAGAAAAGGTGTAGACAACCTGCAGGAACATGCGTAAGCAACGAGAAAGGAAAAGATTCCAATCTCATATAACGGGTTTTTGAAGGCGTTAATAACAAAAGTGGCCATAAATTAGGCTAAAATAGTGTCATAACCCAGTAAAAGAACGTCACTAAATAAAATAACCTAAATTTCATAATCAATGGCACATCACTGTTGTACCATTAAAGGACAAGGAAACACCTGTCACAATGCTACAATTGGTTGATGATTTCTCAGTTTAAAAATTAAAAAGTTTATTCGTAGTTTTTTTATAAATTATAAGTTGCTAAATTCAGTTCTTAATCTGCTTTAAAATTTTTTTTAAGTTTTTAAAATCAAAATTAATGTTTCTGTCTAAAAATTTCTTGACTGTCGTTTTTTCGATGTTAAACTTTTTAATAACGTCTTCAAAAACTTTTAAAAATTTGTTATGTAGTGGAATGTTTCTTTAAAAAACTCATTTACAAGATGGTCGATTAATTTTTTTTTGTCTAGATAGTATAACAGCTTCTTTTTGTTTGTTTATAATATGAGGGGTACCTTCAAGACTAGTTTACATGTAGTTATATAAATTTGGTTCGCGCACCTTTTGCAGTTCCTTTTCTCTCTTCTTTAGTTCGTACAGTTTTTTGCTGCGGATAAGTTGTCTTTAACAAATAAATTAATATACAGTGCTTTCTAGTACTTTACTTACTTATATTGTCATATACCTTATTTTATAATTATATTACTTACTGTCTATAATGTAAAAGTTCTCGAGGCTTACAGCCTTCAAAATCAACGCAAGAGAGTATATTATTCCAACGCAGCCTTGATGTGTGAAGATGATATTTGTAGTTTTTATAAGCACTAACTCTCATTTAAAAGGCTGCATTATAATGGAGAAAAGTGCAGAATAAGGGCCGCCCCGCAGCAAGCTGTGCTTAATTGCAAACGAAAATTATTGTGCGATTAATAATAAAAAACTTTAGCGGAAAGCGAAAACCTTAATGCCTCATAGCAGCGAGGGATATAGCTACCGAAAAGCGCTCGATCCCTTCCTCTCTGAGAACTCAAATCTCTAAACGCTTATTGGTACATCAGTGATTCCCTACAAGGCGCTCAACTTTTGGAAAATTCGGATGGTTGTAAAGAGACTGGATTAGAGCTTTCTTGGCTCGACCAGACACTAGGAAAAGTCATATACAATTAAGCAGCTAATATATATATTAATTGTCGATAGAGAAAGTAACAAATGACCAGTAAAAGTAGAACGCCATAGAAGGCATGTGCTTGCTGTGCTTGTGCAAAGACACGATATTAAAAAGTTAAACCGCTATTCAGGAATGAATAATGTAATTTAGAATATATCGTTCCCAAGTAACTGTCTAGCTTTTTTAGTAATAATAAATGAATGTACGAATCTTTTTGTATAAAAGTAGAGACCTTCTAATTATAATTAATTTTTGGTGAAATGCTTAGAGAAGAAAAGTTTCAAAGTGATTTAATATTATTTATATTAGTTTTTGGTGGATAACGAACCATTTACTTCATACAAAATTACAAACATACATTGTTTAACTACTGGATAAGTTTAGCACTAATAAATAACAAAAAATTGACTTTTAACTGTTTTTTTAAATCTTTTAAGTATAAACCTGAATATTCAACGGGATAGAAGAAATTCATATATCACGAATACCTATAGAGAAACGGAACTAATAAGTAAAGACAGTTACTAAAAAATTATTAGCAAATAAAATTGGATGATCTATCAGTATTACTCAGGGAATCTCATAATAATACTAGTTTGAGAATTTTTAAATTAAAGCAGGGAATTCTTGTGCTTCTTTAGTGTCAATAGTATAAACGCCTAATTTAATAATTGTTAGCTACACCACCGCCAAATATAAGCCTTGAAAAGTCTAATTTCTGATCGTAACAAAAGGATAAAACTTTACACATAAAAATAAAAGGTTTAGGAATATTCTAAAAAAGAATATGTTATAGTTATATTTTTAGCCCGGAATTTAAATGATCTTATTAAAAAATGTACTTTTTGAATAAAATATTATGAAACCTAATTATCCTAATATTTTGACTTCAGAATCAAATTCGTCAACATTTAAAATTCCCAATTTTACTCCTATTCTGTTACTTTTGCGCTGCCTAAACCATGTTACGAGCTGTAATGCGCTATCAGGGGTATATTTGTTGTATTAGATTTATACAAAATTCAATTTAATTGCCAAGTATATTAACTTAATAAATCTTTTAAATGACTCTTTATTAACCATAACTTATACTTTCCTGAAAAAAAAAAATTATTTTTTATACAAAATTTTAATTATTTATATGGTTAAGTCAATATAAAGATTTCCATTAAAACCAACAGCAATGTAGAAATTATTTTTTTTAACTTGTCCTGCATTTAACGGGGCCTTCACGCTCAGTTAGGATTACGAACCAATTTGCTAGCTAAAAAATTTTAAAAATTATTTTACTTTAAAAATTCAAACTTTTATTAAGGTAATAAAGCTTAAGCCTTACTAAATACAATAAAAAAATTAAGTCCTATATACAATATTTATTAACACTACATATTATATTCTTAAAGGCTATTATTTTTTATTTTTTTACATTAATCGTTACCTTCAGATACTTTTGCAATAAAGATGAAATAATTTCTTTAATTTACTATCACTATAAATAATTGATCATTAGTACGTGCACACACACGAATTATATTTTTATAATGCAATGCTTTAGGGTCTACTTTCACCACTTATCTGGTGCGTAGAAATATTTAGATTCTCAAAAATAAATTTCAAAATATATATTTTGAAGGCTTGTTGTATTAATTGTGAGAATAGAGGTACAATTGCTGTTGCATTTAATATGTAAAAAGTAGTTAATATTTTAGATCTATTGCGTAAGAACTTTTATATGTGACATATGCTTTTAACTCTTTTAACACCCTTAAAATACCAAAAAAAAGGACAAAAAAATTAATTTTGTAATTATGTGTGTTTTTTAAGTATATATTTTAATAGAATAGTGAAAAGAAAGCAAGTTCTCCTATCTCCAGGCACCAGAAAGAGATATATTATCTGCCTCGTGTATAATATTTCCCTTATAATTATCAACTTTGTATACCATAAAGGATTACCCGCCTTTCTTTTTACTTAAATTATGTCCTTTAAAATGTTAACTTCTACCCAGAGAACTCTTGATGATGCAGAAGAGGTTAATAATTTTTAAATAATGAGTGACTTCTGTATGGGATTACAATCTTTTACTTATAAGTTAGTTGAATACTATTACCGGAGGATAAAAGTTTTTATTCCCACCATTGCGAAGATTTGTTTGCTCTCAACTTTTATTGAAGATAGCTTAAGGATGTATATATACTTCTCAGCGCAGGTGTAACTTATTCTCTATATTTCCTTTTTTATAAGCTTATTCTTTACTCATGCTGTTAAGTATTACTTTTTCGCAAGACGCTTCTATGGATGGTTTAGTACCTTTTACATCGTTTTCAACCTCATTGTCCAGATGGGAGCAGTTTTATTGATCTTAATAAAAAAAAAACGTTTATTCGCTATTTCTTCTTTGTTTGTTGTAATCTTTTTACAGGTAAAATATGTTTATTTAGCTTTATTTTATATTTCTTACATTTTTAACGCTTCATTTTTTTGTTCAAAGTGTATTATGTACAGCCCTTTGTATAGCTGGAGGTTTTTTGGGAAAAGCGCTGCGCTATGTGGTTGTCTGATTCTTCTTTTAGTAGACGCTCGTGTAACTACAAGTAATAAAGACGAATTCGCCGGTCTTCCTGACATGGGATTCGTATTGATTTCTATTTTTAAATTTTAGATGAGATTTTAATTGAGGTTGTATAGGATAAGCCTAAAAGCCTTATGCTTCTCGTTGGGAGGATTATGACTATTTTTATATTTTTTACATTATTGCATTCTAATATGAGTTACTTTAAATGGTTCCTCACTACTATTAACTTTGCGTTAATACTCTCTGTAGCCGCTGGTATCTCTGCAAAACTTTCGGCTTTTATTTTGGTTTATTTATAAAATTCATTTATCGAATAGACTTTTTTATTAGGCTTTTAAAGGTTTTGATTTTATCGATTGAAAATGTAAGCATGAATAATTTCTGGTCTGTTCCTGTACGTTTTTAAGCTCTTTGCGCCTATTGTCTTGATATTAAGCTTTTTATATTCTTTAAGGAGTGGATGTCTGATTATGTGCGTTACGATTTCTTCCTTACATTATCGGTTATTGGTAATTTTTTTTGTTTTCTACTTACTTTTCCAAGTTTTAGTATTGTTAGGACAAGCGTGTAAACAGTATTATAGCAATTTTAAGCTTTCTTTATAAATATTATTTGCAGTAAAAACGTTTAAGATTTATTCAAAGGAGAATTACTATTTTTGACGTTGGGTAAAAACTTAACCTGCTGACGGATCTGCTTAGAATAACCCATAGACTTTTATAACTTTTAAAAACCTGCTGACTTAGTTTTTTTATATTTCAACTACTCCTATATTATAACTCGAGTTTCAGTTCAAATCCTTTTTATATCTAAAAAATGCGTTAGCATTTGGAAATTATTTTAAAATTGGTAGTCTTAAGCAATATTTGCACTTTATCTTAGCTCCCTAACAAAATATTAAACTAGAAGCCTATAAATTAATTTCTCACTGATGTAGTAGGAGTGTGTCAATTCTTAAAAAACTAGTATTATTAGGCAATTATGACATTAAGCGAAAATTATTATTATAAAACTCCCTCATGTTAAAAAGTTACCTTGTAAATTTAAGACGGTAAATTCATACCATTCAGTGTAAGGAGAGTTAACCAGTTTACTTAACTGCGTATAGTACGGCAAAATTATTGTTAGTGGAACAATAGCTTGGCGAACCTAATTTTTTTTTAAGCGTTCAGTATTATCTATTTTATGTAAAGTTAGCGTTGGAGCCAATTTTTTTTTGTTCAAAAGCAATAATATATATTTCCCAACAAATAAAGGACGTCTTTATTTTATAAAATGGTTGGAGTTTTTGTGATATCTTATAAACTACGAAGCTGAACTGTAATAAAAAAATATTCTTTTATATTTTGTTATCCAAAATGCAACCTTAAATTTGAGAGTGAAATTTTTGATCTATTAGAACACCTGTGCATTTTTTTAGTTGGGTTTTTATTAAAGGTTTATATGTTTGTCTTTGATATAAGATAAACAGAAAGAGCTTTAAATTATCAGTTTAAAGTAAAAAATATTGGGGGCAGAAAAAGTCTAAATAAACTTTTAAATAGTACTTAACTTTAATTGTAACTCATTTTTATAACTTTATTTTTGTTTTAAATTTATCCACGTTTTATTACTTCAATATAAAAAGGTGGGCTGCTTTTCATAGTGAGTCACGGCGCAGGTGATATAAGTGTTGATAAAGCCAAGAAAGCCTTTTAATAAAAATATTATTTTCTCAAATTTTTTGATACATAACAAATTTAGATCGACTTTTTGTATATGTAAACTCTTAATTATACAGATTCTTTTTAATGCATGTGGTTATCTCTAAAATAGTAAGTTTTACGAGATTAGTGAATAGTTTTACATACGTACTTTCCCAATTACCTTACGGAGTTTTTAAATTAAATTGCAAGCTTTGGTTTTTATTAAATTTACGCAAGGGGGGCTAAACTTTAATGTATTGTGTATATTAGGAGCGAATAGAATTACTTAGTGGGTTTTACTGCAAATGGGGAACTTGGGAAATGTTTTGTTCATTTACTCACTTTGTTTTACTTTTGTAGTCCGTATCCAATTGATAAGGTAGGTCAAATTAAATTTCTCTTTTCTTGTATTTTTATTGGTTATTTCTCGGGTTTCTGATTGGATTAACCGCGGACCATTTTCCTGTGAAAATTTAGTCTTTTGTGTGTGCGTTTTACGGTTGGGTACTTCATACTTAATGTATTATACACGTTTTTTTTTTGTTTTCTGTTTGTGTTTTGTGTTTTAAATTGTGTCTTAAATATTGTGTATACTAAGTTATTGCGTAAGGTTTCCCGATTTTTAATAACGATATAGTAAGATTAGACTTTCAATCCGACTTTTATACATTTTATTATAAGTAATCAACCACTAGTACAATTTAAAGTCAAAACTAGATTTTTTTTTGGCTATATTCTTAATACAGTCTTTATTTCTACACTTTCATATGTTTATATTAATTTATCAATCCTTTTATTTTCCTATTAGAGTGACCTATCTTTATTATTTGGTCAGTGGTATATATGAAAGTCGAATGGATCGAACGGCTCACTTAAATTTGGTAGTAAAACCGATGGTTCGCTTGAGATTCTAGTAAGGTCCGATTCCTTTGCGCTCCAACGATTCGGGGTAAAAATTGCTGGGGTACTTAATGAAGGTCGTACCTAAGACATGTAAAAATTTGTTATTGAAAGTGTCTTTCTGGTATCATTTATAACTATTGCTTTTTATCATTAATATAACAATAAATAGTGTAATAAACGCTTTAACTTAGAGAATGAATCGTCTTCTATCGAATAAATAATGTTATTACTTAATTCTCCCAAATATGAAAGACGAAAGTTAAAAAATAAATGGTTGCCTTTGAAAAACATCTAATCAGTTGCTCTACTTAGAGCAAACTTATAAAAATTTAAAAGTTTATGGGTGGGAACATTATTGACTAATAGTAATAGGTTGGTTTTCTTCTAAGGTTTATTTCGTATACTACATACTTGCGGTTATCCATAATAAAATAAATTTTTATATAAAAGTTTTAAAAATAACCTGAAGCGCTTAGTTCGGCAATTGAGCCATCCTATAAAAGATCTTATTTGAAAAGTGTAATAAGTTAAATGAAAACTCAAGGCATAGAGAAAAGATAAACATTCAAATATATGATACTACCCTTCAATTTTACTAAAACATAACTTAAATAAAAAGTATGCTTACTTCCAAGTCTAATGCTTAGGTCAGTTAAATATAACTTTTCAGCGAGAGCAAGTTGGTTCTCGTTTTATATAGAATTGTAAATAATTATCATGAATCTGATGGCAATAAAACCAATATTACTTTAAAAAGCGCATTCACTTATTTTACATATTACTTTCACTTCTGATAAGCTCTCTAACTTGTTACAAAGAATGCCCTCAAATGCCGGGATAAGATAGTTTTTAAGGTTGCTGGTAGTGATAGTTACTAGCAAAAATAGAGAAATGGCCATATAATGAAATAAAAGCTAACTTCTGATGTGTATTGAGCTTTATCATATGAAATCTTACAATACTTCTGTATTGGTTAGAAGTAAAATTTTCGTAAAATTGGTTATTATGTAAACATACACAAAATTACGATGCGTCTGTAATATAAAACCCCTCGAGACAGATTTTAAGCCCTTCACGGCTATAAGAAGGGAGCTAAAGGTTGCTATAATGCGCGACTTTCTTGCAACTGGCGAATTTTGTATATAGGGAAGAGTTGTACACGTAACTACCAAACCAAATAAAGGTGAGTTGGCAACGAAAAAATCGAACTGTGACTTGAGATTGCGCGACAATGCTCTAACCACTGATTCACGGTGACAACTCATCTTTTCTGTTGACAAATTACGTATACAACTTTGTTAAATATATTATAATTAGAAGCCTATGCATCGTTGTTATCTTTTTAAGTCATCTGCAAATTGAAGCTAGGCAAAAGGGCAACTGTATTCACACTTCTTGATAATGCTTGTGTAAATTAAAAACCATTGCAAGCAGCTAAAGGTAGCTAAGGGGGTTGTCGCTCTTAATACATAGTTGTAGCATTTAAAAGTGATTTGGAGGATTATAGGCAAGATTTTGTCCTCACGAAAGCGTGAGAGAGAGTCGAGGTAACGAAAGGTTTCGGAGTAGATATAACATCGTGGTCACGAGGATTGCTCTGCTCTTTACAGAGTTACACTTCTCACCACGCCAACAAGTGGTCCTACACCTGAAAAGGGCAGGAAATATATTTATTAAAGGATTAAAATAAAAAATTTATAAAACCCAAAAATTATCATATGAAAATATTTACAAAAACAGAGAAGCTTGTCGGCTAGTGCCAAAAACTAATGATGGGGAAGGAGGTTTTCATCTGTGTGCATTCTGTTCACTGCTAAAAGATAGCAAAATCACCTTTGTAACTACACGAAAGAAAAAGGCAGATTTAAATTCAGCTATTTACTAAGTCTAATATAAAGGTATATATGGTAACTGAAAGTCTCTAACTACATGTTTTCTAACTAACCTTAAAACAACGTACTCACTCGAGGGATTAAAATCTGGCGGGTGTGGGGCGAAGCAGATTAATATAAGATTTTAGTTCTACCCTTCTCTTTATTATTTAATTTAGGCGCTATAGTTAATTAGTAAGAAGTACGCGAAGCGGAGTTTAAAATTAACAAGGCACAAAAAAAATAAAGTTTGCTTTGCTCATACTTGTGTTTTAATAGTTTTACATAACTTTGTATAAGAACCCAACACATTCTCATAGTATAGTAAGACAGTATTTGCAGTGTGCAATACATTTATTGGGTGTATGATTTATTTAAGATTTTTTCTGTTGACTAGGTACATATTAACAAGATATATAGTATTTGTGGAACGCATAAGTATATGAATTTTTTAAGTTCGTATAATAATTAGCTAGTTATACAAGCCACCAAAGGTAGCATATTAATATAAATTAAGATAGCTAGTAGTAGCCTGGAGGGATCCAATCATTGCACCGAAAAGAGAGAACAGAAGAACGGGAGTGGGTTTTCTTATCGCAAAATAAATATTTAAATTCATTTCCCTTTAAGTTTAGATTTAATTTTGTATTTATTTTAATAAACATATTTATTTTAGTTTCTATAAAAGACATGTTAAAGTGGGTAAGCGGTATATTTGTTTATAATATTTTGTGAAAATTATCTCCTGCTAATGTTAAAGATTGCTTTTCTTTGAAAAAATTAGTTAACTATGCTCTCGATTGATTTACCTTTATATAATAATTTTAGTGATTCCTTGTTTACTTATGTATATGTGTATGTGGTTGGAGAACTTGTTGGTGTTTATTAAAGAGCGCACTTGGCCGCTTAGCTAATAATTTGACTTTACAAGAACAGAAGGCTGTGCGATGATTTATAGCTACTTTACACTGTTTTGGAAAATATAAAGCTAACTAAATACCTTTTAAATGACTGAATACTTGTAATACTAAATTAGAGTTATGCTGTCGAATTTACCAAAGTTTACTGAACAGAATTGTTTCTTTTATTAAAATGTTTACTTTTATTGAAGTTTTACAGCTTACTTTTATTATAATAATTGTAAATTTGTTTTAATTTTACTGCAGAAACTTTATTCGCAGTACTACTGCAAGCGAGGTTTGCTTTTTGTCCCTAGGTGCAAGCCGTACAGCGTCCGAACAATATCGGACCCATTCTAGACGAGCCTGCCGCGCTTGTTATTCCTTTAGTCTACCGGTAATTGAGAACAACCATGGTAGACTTGGGGGTGCCATCCGAAAATGGGTCTTATGTGTCGGTGTAAACTCTACAACATCTTGTGATGTTTAGTAATCCTCTAGTATAGATGGCTTTCGTGACTTAAGTTGAACAAATTTAGTAAACTTTAGCTATTCGCCCTGGACTAATACTCCATTCATGGATGAACCTTCTATTCTGATTATGGTTGCCCTGCTTGGTGTCAAGAAGTTGAGGCTAGCACTTTGCTTCGGAGAGTCGTAGAATTGACGCGTGTTGAAAAACATGCTCTTAAAAATGGTAAAATAGCGCAGCGGATAGGCTCTTGAAGCAGGTTTTATCTTACTTGTATCAGAATGCATAGACCGGTCTGGTATCGAAACTGGATCAATCGGGGGCAGGCCTCTCCTGGTGAATCTATTTGACCCATTTTACTTTATCTTCTTGCGCGAGATATACTAACGTTGCCTTCTAAAGTGGTCCTTCGTGTTGCCTAGGAAGAGATGCGAAAGTCAATATTATCACTATTAACATGTTGAGGAAACAGCTAAGTTACATAAGTACTTCGGCTTCTAGCTGCTAAGTACGTCTGGAGGTTTTTGCTCGAAATATGCTCGTCGCTTAATTTTATTAAGTTTTTTTATATAGTTCTCTTTATTGTTTCTTTAAGGTAATTAATATTAAACAAATATATTCTATACTTTTAGATATATAAGTGTAATAATAGTTTTACTATTATATTATAAATGAGTTTATCAATAGAACAGCGGTGTAATTAAAGCAAGCTATTGGAGGTCTAACGGCGGAAGTCTCCATGAAGAGGTGATTGTAGTGAAGTCCATTAAATATTGACTATCATGATTGTTTCCGTCTAATAGAGATCTTATAAATAGTGCATAATACATATTATATATATATGAATCTGTACACCCGCAAAATATTTTAAAAAAATTATAATAAGCAATTCTTTTATATAGTAGAAATAGGTTTTAACATAAAAAAGTCCAGTGATATTAATAAGAAAGAAAGGGAGGGGCCAATCAGGCAGCGCTGAAAAAGAAAAATTAATAACCAATGAAAAATAAAAGTCAGCGGTTCTTTGAGGTTGCTAATAAATAAATCGTGCAGCTGATCTTTACTTTGGGCCCAAATAAGCTTCGGTTACACGATTTTTTCAAGCTCCCCAAAAGTTTTTGCAACAAAGTTGTGATGAATACGTCATTATAAGTAAATTATTAATCATTATTACGTTCATTATTTTTTAGAATCAAGTTATCTTCACAATATTTGTAGTAAGAATTATTCTATGTTTTGAGTATTATTAATCTTTATTATTATTAAAAATACGTATTTTTTAAATAATTATTACCATAACGTATATATATACGAACCATCCTTGAGCAATTCTTTAATTGTGTTAACAATAAGCACTTTACTTGAGGAGGACACGAGGCTCATATTTAACACGTTGAGTAGAAATAGAATAAAGTTTTCTTTCGAAGCCTTAAAAATAGAGAAACGAATTATAATACTTAATATTATTATATAATATATAGTATTCAATGGGTGTCATGTTTCTATTATAAAGATAATAGCGATAAAAATAAAACATAGGTTAAGAATGCCTGCTTCACGCTATTATAGATTTGATTTACTTACTCATTAAAAATTAGTAATAAAGAAAAGTAATAAATAATACATATAAGAGTATTACATGAAATATATATCATATTCTTAAGCTCTTAAATATACTCCAAGCGGTTTAGTAATGTTGTTTCTAAGCGCTATATTGTATAAAGTTTTTGTTGCCGGTTCGTTATTTGCTTGTAGTATTATTATTTATTGTTATTCTAAGTATATAGAAAAAATCGATATCGGACTGCATGCCTGTGCGCAGCGAGGAGATAAATAGTAGTGACTTCCGTCATGTTGTCAACACAAGGCTGGTTCTGGAAAGTTGGCTCAGTATTAAATGACATTCCTATTGGCCAATAAACCAGAGTTCTCAAAGATAAGCCAATAAATTTTGTGGTGAAAAAAGTTACCACAAAATAATATTTATTGATAAATTTTTAATAAAGTATTATAAAAAAAACAGAAAAATGCTAGAAAAAACGTTGAGTAGTAAAGAATATAACAATAATGTTTGTGTTTACTTCTCTTTGATAATGATAATAGATAAACTAAATTGTTTCTTTTATTAAGGCAACAGAGAAGGAAGCAAAGTCAACAGTATCCAATGGACAAACGAAATGCATAGTAGTGACCAATGAAAATTACCTTTCTTGATAAGGAGCCTTACTATCCAGTAGCGCCAACGAGGCGGCTGATATGCCCCAGGGTCCCTATGGCATCCAATAGGCTGCTCGACAGAGTAACAACTCTTTAGTAATTCCTTGACTCAACGATTGGAGATTGATTTGATTGGCTTTCTTAATTGTAAAAAGTGCCTATAATATTAATATACTATTTTTAAAAAGTTAAACAGATACGTTTGGCCTCATAGTTCCAGAAAAATTTCCAAGAACCAATTAAAAACTCTCAGAGGAACGAAGACGGATGTATACGCCACTAAACACTAGCTCGTCTGTACTGTCTTTCATAATGCGTTTTATTTTATTTTTATTGGCCAATTATGTACGTTACTCCAATAAACTTCTGAAGGTTTACGGGGGGCTCCAAGTAGAGCTGTTATCCCTTCGATGTAGGACTTCTATAAATCTCTTCTTTCGAAGTTAATAAAGTGTTTTAACCTTTATTATATAATAATAGTAGTAATAATAATAATAATTATAATAATACTTTTTGACGAATTTTATCATTCCATATTGATTCTGGATTCCATGAGTTCTATCGGCCTGACGATCAAAGAACTTTTAATATAATAAAAAGTATACCAGTAAAAATAGATATATCACTAAAATAATAGAAAAAAAGAGAAATAAGTTTTATAAAAGTTTTAAAATAAAAGAAATTGGAAAGTTTCATACAATTCCGTTATATAGTAATAATAACAGCGAAAAGATATAATAATAATAATAATAATAATAATAATAATAATAATAATAATAATAATAATAATAATAATAATAATAATAATAATAATAATAATAATAATAATAATAATAATAATAATATCTAAATTCGATAAACAACGATACTCGATATTTCCTTTCCAGACTTCTATAAAAATTAAAGGAATGAGCTTTTCTACAATTATTATAACTTCTGGTCATAAACTTTATTTTTTATTGAACTTAACAAAAGAAGCGCTAAAGTAAACAATATAATATAAATATATATATATATAGTAATTTATAAACAATATAAAATTAAAAAAAAGTAAAGTAAAATAATAATTGCTATAATGTTTTTGAAAAAATATATGAAAACAATAAATATATATAACTTTATTGTAAATAATATATTGTGGCTAAAGAGAAAATATTATTATTCAAATAAGTTTATATTTAAAACAAAAAAAATTATAAACTTAATAAAAGTATAAGAAAATACTGATAATAATTTACATATAATTAATAGGAGGCAATACAGAAATAAATAGTATTGCATAAATGTGTTGATTTATTTTATCAATAGCGTTTAAATAACAAAAGCGCAAGGAATAATTATTATAAGCAGAATAAATATAATTGTTTTGTTGTATTGGTTACATATAAATAGAAATATATAATAAGAGATTTATTTACGTAATATAATAATAATTATAAATATTAGATAAAAATAATAAAAAAATATTATTATATTTAGATAATAAAATTATAAATTTATATATAAAAAATTGTCGAAACTTTAATAAAATTAAAAAATTTATATTAAAGAATTCATATTGATAATATTATATAAAAATAATAATGTACAGGTAAATATTAGAGAGGAAATATAATAAAAGTATATAAACCATAAAAAATAACTACAATATATTATAGTATTAACATCTTTATTATATAAATAATAAAAGTTCTTACAAACAATGATATACAATAATTATGAAGAATAGAAAATTATTAGCTATAGCTATATATATAAAGAACTTATAAAATTTTAAAAATATTAGTTTTAGAAAATAATGAAATACAAAAACATAAAAATAACATATTCTAATAAATATACAAATATTAAGTTATAATAATATATACTTTTTAAAAAAGTAAAACGCTGCAAGACATGTTTTAGAAGAGTTTTATAATTATGTAAATTATAAATTCGTATGAAAGTAAGATAAACATATAAATATTTGTGAAAATTGTGAAATAGTATAGTTCATGCTGAGCGCAAGAAGCATAACTATGCAAAGGACAACAAAACATCCGCAAGAAAAACAGACTACCTTGCTTGGTACTGAGCAGCGATTGGAGGAGAGCTAATACCGATAATAGTCTAGTGATAAAAATTTAATTAGCTTATAACAACCAATAAAAATTATTTAAAATTAAATTGACAAACAATTAAGTAGTTTATCAAACGTTTATAACCAATTAAAATCCAATAAAAACTGTATATTAATAATTCTTAAAAGCGTGAATTAATGTTAACATAAAAAATATTTATTTACCAATAAAAATTTGCAAAAAAACAGTTCAAGCAAACAAATGTATGATAAATCTTTATAGTTTATATTTTTGTGTGTACTATAATATGTTAGTTGCTTATAAAAATGGATAAAATATATATGTTTACGTGAATTTGTTAATTTTCGGTGACAGTAAAGTCATTGGTTAAAAATTAGATGAATAAAAATAAAAATATATATATATTTAGTAATAATTGTAAATTGTTAATGTCTAACCAATTGGGTTAAGCCTTGAGATAGATATGTACGGATTGTTACTTGTACAGTTAAATAGTTTATTCTAGTTCTACAGGTTAACTGTTGCATTATTGACCAATCATATCAAAAATAAAATGCAAGTTCCAATGAATATTTTTTACTAACTTCATTATAAAAATAGAGGCAAAGGTTTTTTTGGCATCACAACAAAGAAAAGTTTTTGATAGTAAACTTTATAGGTATAATATTATAAGTAGATGGAATCCCGTTCAACTAAAAAATTTTCAGAAAAGCAAAGCACTCTCTCAATAGTAGTCTAAAAGTAATAATAATAGTAATAAAAATTAATAAGACAAGAATTAATACCCAATGTTTCTTGGAAGTTTCTAACAGTGTAATTATAATAGAAAATCAAGTCATTTTCACCAAAACTTAAAGTTTTAATAGTAATTATTAATAAATTGATAATAATAAAAAAATACCTTGGGTCAAAGCGAAAGTTATATAAATGCTTCAAACTGGATGCATCGGAAGTTTCAACGGGAATCTCAAGTCCAATAAAGGTAAGAGCCTTAAAGTTTATAAACTTTAATGATTCTTACATCTGTATAATAATAATATTAACAATCTAAATAATAAAAAGTTTAGTAATTGTATAAAAAATTGTGCCTAGTAGACTATTTAAACGAAATTAACATACTAATAATTTTCTAACGTAAATACAAAACAGTATTGTGCGATAAAAAAAATAATTTATAAGTAGTGAGTAAAAAAACTTTTAACCTTCAGGCTTTGCCTTCGGCCTCAAAAGAACTTTAAGTAAACAATTTTATTATACTTAAATAAGCTTTTTTGATACTTCATTTAAAAATTTTAACTTAGCCTTAAAGGTATTACACAATTGATTTATCAATTAGTTAACTTTAAGAAAGTCAAAAAAAGTTTTTAGTTTTACTTATTACTCCTAAAATTCACTTTTCGAAATTTATGTAAGTCTTTGCATTCGACTCGAAACAATAAATTTTACATAGTATACCTTATAAACTTTTACCTGCCTAAATAAAAAATTAACCAGTTCCAAAACTTATTTTAGCCAAATTTTTCACTTTCACTAAAGAAATAGAAGTGTAACCCTTCTTTTTTTTTTTTTTTTAAAATAAACTTGTGTATACTGGAGGGTTTGAGTACAAATAAAAAAAATAACTTGGTATTACCACTTGACACGCTCTCACGGATGGCCGACTCTGCGATTCTTGCCAGAAAAAAAAAAGACCGATAATGTACTAGCGCCAGGTTAGATGAAACTGTCATCTTGTCCTTTATGATTTTCTAATGTTTGGATGGGCCTCATAGAGTGAATAAAAGTCAAGTTATCATTGATTGTGGTGCAAGTCTCATTATTCTTGATGATCCTACGCTATTTCCGGCTTTCTTTAACAGACGAAAATTAATAACAATTGCCAATAAAACCGAAATACATATAAGCCTGAAAAGAACTATTAAAATTTGAAATCTGGGGCTGAGGTGAAGGTACGCACTCCGTGTTAAAATGAATCATGCAGTTACATGTTACACTTTACGCATTTTTATTGGCCCTTATGACTTGAAAACTTATTTTTATTATTTGGTACAACTTTCACAGTTAAGTTACCATATTGCTGAAGCCGAGAAATGCCTGTTCGCAGCAATACTATTTGTTATCTCCAAAAAACCTCGGGTCTATGCTCGGGGCACCTTTCTTGGTGTTTTTAAAGATTTTCTACCCCTAAACCAAAAAGCAAGAGCCGGGACAAATGTCACTGCTACCCCTGGACCACCGAGAAGGATATGCCATCCTTTTGAGAGGGTAATACTAGTAGGCTTTGTACCTTAACCCCAAGGACGAAGTAACCAAAAAAAGTCGGCTTCTCTGTTGCAGTTACGGTCAGTTGGTTACATAACTAGCCATTTGTTTTAGTAGTATGGCAGTGGGTGCGCATCGCACCAGTAATAGCTGAATAATTCATACTATTTAGGAACACACCGCGGTATATTACTTACTTTTAAATGCTCCTCTAACATGAGAAAAAAACAATATTTACACTTTAAACACAATTATACAAAATAAGAATACATCACCATCTTTACATCTGGAAAATAAAGAAAAATATCTTTTGAAGATAACTTAATACATCGGCTATAGAACACACAAAACATTTAGAAGCAAAGTTATTAAACACATACCTGATAAAATCAATAAACAAGAAAAATTTTTATGAAAACAAAATTAATATTGGGCAATCATAGAAGGAAATTTCATTTGTTTTCCTACAAAAGTAAAGTATAAATAATATTAACCTCCCGTTCAAGAATTAAAACAGAAATATTGTGACAAATAATTAAAAATAATTTTAGAAAAATGTTTATAATTTTTAGCTTTTTGTAAAAACATTATACGCCATACAGCGGCTAATCAAGCTGGTAAAAATTATTTGCTCCTTAAATTCTTATCTTTCAAATTATATTCTTACATAAAACAAAGTGACAGATATTAAAAAGGTGGACTTAATTTTCCCTCTAAACTCTAGTATTTTTAAGCAATACATCGAGTTGAGATCAAAAGCAGCCACTGCACCCCATCTAAGATTCCTGTTCATTGTATACTTATTTAGTGCTTCTCTCATACCATGAGAAAGAAGTAATTATTTAACAAAGATTGCAGCTAAAACGCTCCTATTTCACGCCCGTTACTATTCCCACATAATTGTATTAAATATAAAACGTTGGAACCAATTGTACTATATCTTTAAAGGTTAAATATGTAAATCCATCATACCGAGGTTGAGAGTTGCCATCGAAGGTCAGCGGTTAAGGGCATAGACGTGCAAACGGAAGGTCTTGAGTTCGATTCCCACCAGCGTGCCTTTCTTTTTAGGTCTTTGATGGGTTGCGTCCTTACAATGCTCTCACGAATTCTACTAAATTTAATAGAGCAACTGAGCAGCGTTTTTAGTGTAACGTGTTCTAATTTTTTGGTGGGACAACTTTTTGTTAACTTACATTCCTGACAAACTTCAGATTTATGGA